CATTCAGTCTAGTCACCTCTCCAAGCCTTGTCCGATCACGGCCGCTCGACGGTCCTCAGACGTAGCAACTGTTCATGCGTAGCCCCTTTGACGCAACAGCGATACTCAGCAGTGTAGATCAGCAGCGATCCGCGCCCAGTATGCAGTTATGGTCTGTGCCTGGCCAGCAGTAGCAGCAGCTGTACACGGCGGTGGTCAGCAGAAGTGCCAACAACCTCCAATAGTCCCAGTCCGCACTTAGTTCACAGGCGCGGCGGCAGTTCACTGCAGGCAGTCAGCGCGTAGTGGCTTAGAGTAGTGAGACTGTGTGCCCAATAACAACCTCGGCAGTATAACAGGCTATACGAGTTTAATAGTAGCCGGCGGCAAGCCGGCGCAGAGTACCATTTAAAACGGTGCGGCGCGGCGCTTTGGATCAACAAAACCAGTTGCGCGGCTCCTAGTGCCCGCGCCGGCTTGCTTATACCATACCATAATTGCCCCGCACGCCATCCTACTACATCCTTCTCACCGCACGAAGTCGCGCCGTTATTGCCGATACCGTCGTCGGGGTTGTTTTCCCCTGCACGCGCGCTCGCCTTAATCAAGCATACCAATCAACCGAAAATATCCCTGGGTCCTGCTTATATAAATAGATTTTAATAATACCTTTAAACAAACAACCGATGATCAACAGCAGATAGGAATCACGCGCGCCTTAAACCTGGCGCGCCCACACACTCTCTACGCTAGTCAAGCATCCTGCCAACGTAAATTACAACCGCAGCCGCGCCTAGCGCGGTATACTTAAACTCTAGACCAAAACTATTTTCTGTCACTTGCAAAAACCAGGGCGGATACCCTTGTCAGGGTATTCGCGCCGACAGCTTACCGGACCATATTAAGCGGCGTCCCCGTCGCTTCGCCAAATCAGAAAGCTATAAATTCATCCACACTCCAAATGCTGACGAAACAGGAGCCAATTCGATTAACCGACAAACACAGGGTAGAGGCCTCCATCAAACCATGCCTCCACAACTATATGCTGCCAGGTTTCTAACCTGGGCCTCACACCGTCCAAAAATTAGGATACTGGCAGCATAAGTTCCAAAGACTTTCTCAATCGTCCTCTCCCCGGTCCTAGACAACCTTCGGCTTTTCGTTGGGTGTCCCTAGTCCTGGCAAAAACTAGGGACGCTGGCCTTAATCGAGACCTTTTGAAGGCACTCTCGCCTTCCTTCTCAAAAATTTCTCGCAATCAAATACACGCAAGTATATATATATACTTAATATTTGCTCAGCTCTTTCTGCAGTCTAGTACAGAAAGGCTAGGTCTCCACCTTGGCCCACCATAGCTTTGCTGATCGGACCAGAACCACGGCCCACCGCATTGTTATTTAACGGCAGCACCTTCGTTGGTTACGCAACGATAGGTTACTTACTGGTAAGCACTCAATCAGGATTTCCCCCAAAAGTTTTCAACCATGATTATCCCGCGGAGTAATATCACTGGGGCAGGCAACCCCCTTAAACTCTTACCTCGCGGTCCCGCAGCCAGGTTGCGCCGGCTAGCAGCCATCCAATGGGGTTACGCCCTAGAGGTACTAACTTTTTTTCCGTTAGCTTGGCCTTTCTTCAAATGTCCCAGAATTAGCACAGGTGGTTAGACGGGGCATCGCAAAACAAAATCACAGGCCCACTGCGCGATACGCAGGGGTCCGAAGGCATTTACCAGCCCTCCTTCAATAGGCATGGCATCCCTCGCACGCCTACAAGCAAAATCACCGCTAAATCCACCAGGCCGTGACCCCTGACTTGATTAGAGCCAGCAGCCACCCACCCTGAGACATCTCTCGCCCTGCACTCATTGCGACTTTCTCAAACACTTCAAGCAAAAGTGGCCATTTCCGTCATACTTTATCACCCATCAAACAACTCGTCATGCCATAAATCAATTTACTCAGTTCTGAGGATGAGTTTTCCAACAAAAAACCATCCAAAAGGGACTCTTTTTATAAACAAAACACCCCCCTTTTCCAAAAATCACGAGGGGTTCCGCCATAAACAATACATTCCCTCTTCTAGAAATCACGAGGGTCTCATCATAAACCAAACACCCCCTCTCTCAAAGTCACGAGGGGTTTCGTTACATCACAAAACATCATAAAACATCCCCCCTTTTCCAAAATCTAAGGGGATCCCATCATAAAACAGAACATCACTGAGAGACCATCTTATGGGTCCTCATCACAACTTAGATAGCTTTCACAGACGGACTGCGTTTCCTCCCCTTATACTCTGCCTTATCAGCTGCCGTGGGCAGGTCGCACAAGTATACCGAGGAGTAGACAGTTTTACTTACAATCATACTCACAGTACCTATAATACACCAGATGTTTTTCACACATCGTCCACACAAACTCATCATAGATCAGAGTACAACCACATATGTGAGAGTGACAAGTGATCGTCACATATAGGAATGGTCAAAAACCTCATCAATAGTATATACTCAAGGAAAATAAAACGTCTTATACGTCACACCAAACTTACACTAACAACTGCCCTCAGGATACATGTCAGATCTGTGTCTCAAAGGCCAGGGCGTAGGCTACCTAAATATATACATGCCTCATCTAACTCACCCTGATCCACAAGATCCCAACTCAGTAGGAATACTAGAGTTCAGATCTAGACTAATAGCAATCATCAAAATGTCTTCTAAGTCTAAGATGGTATCACACAGAACCTAAGTTGATGCCTCACAAAATGCTCGCTCACTTATATAGACAAAACCGACCCTAAATCCTCAATTCCTCCTGGTTTTGCCTATATAACTGAGCCCTAAGTCCATCTGCGGACTTCTCTATTATCCTACCCTGTCTATCATACATTTTACCTTCTACCTCTGAGACCTTCCTTGCTGCCTTATCCTCAAGAAACTCGAGACAGTCCAAAGCCAGATGCACGTCCCTCTTGCAGTAGAAACATAGCTGATCTATTTTTCTCTTGAACTTCTTCTTCCTGGGCTGAGGAGGTGGCGATGAAGGAGATCCTACCAAGGTACTAACAACCTCCTGCCGCTCCTGTTGAGGAGCTGTGGTACTTACGACCTCCTGCTGCTCCGCCCCACGAACCGGTCCCCCAGACCCAGATCCAGTAGCCCAAGATCCTAGTCTACCTCTCAAATCCTCTGTCGCTGGGACGTACTCAAGTGTGTCCAACCTATGAGGTCTCCTCTCGAGTGTCTCTCCTGGCGCTGCCATGGGCTGTTCCTCAATCTCCTCTGGTCCATACTCAGGTATGCCCATTTTCTGGAGCTTGCTCTCGATAGTATCCTCTGCCTTAATTCTCATCTCTCTCTCAAGAGGCTCCTCTATCCTCTGCTCAGGTGAAAACAAACTCACCTCCTCCTGCATAGTATGCACCGCGTCAAGGAGCACGCCTATGGATCCCTCAGCTGAGCCCTGAGCCTGCTCATTGCTAGATGGTGGCGGCCCCTCCTCTACTGCCAAAGGTACGACTGGGCCATCCGCCGCCACTGGCAGCGTCGCGAGCTCAGTAGGGGCTCTAAACTCGAACGCCTCTCTCTCTGCCTGTCTCTGGGCTCTCGCCTCCTCTGGCTCCAGGATAGCTCTCCCCATAGGTGGCTCCTGGCGGGGCTCTGCTGCAGATGGCTGTCCTGGCAATCCCTGTCCCGGTTGCCTCTGCTCTCCCTGCCTGCTGCTCTCTGGCCTGTCCACCCTTCCCTAGGTTTGCTGCCTCAGGCTCTCGATGATAGCTGCCTGGCTGGCCACCAAGGCCCTGAGTTCCTGAATTTTCATTTTCATTGCCTCCAAGCGTACTCCATGGCTAGCTTCCTTCATTTTTTTCCCCGCCAGATCGCCCTCCAATAACAAGTGTCGGTCAAAAGTGGTCTTGGCCAGGAACTTGATTTTACGATCTAACCTTTCTTGCGCCTTCCTGGCCATTCCAAATCCGGCTCTGACTGGCGATGAAAGTTCCTCTCCTCTTTGCTCTCAGAAGTCTCTCTATATCTCAGGAATCTCCGGAGCCCTAGCTGGTGCACTGGGTGGCTGACCCGGGAGTGCTCTTGCTGCCTCTGATCGCTGCCCCTCCTGTTGCTGCTCCGAGAGCTCCCCCGCTGCCTCCAATCTCTGTCTCTCCTGCCATATCTCATTTATCCGTCTTGTTCTTCTCGCCCTCTTTTCTTCAGCCATCTCTCCAGCTGGCGCCCCTTCCCTTGTGCGGAGGTCGACCCTCTTCGGGATTTCTGCTTCCATCTCCCTCTCGGGTTGGTACGGCGCCCGGCGCGGCTCAGCAGGTGCTGGCTCCTCCAGGTCTGGATGCTCCAGGGCGTAAGCTGCTAGGTGCCTATCTATCAAGGTCAAAGCTTCCCTCCTTACAGCTGCCCTTTCTCTTCTCCTGCCGGCTCTCCCCTCTGGTGATGGGGCCCTTTCTGATGAAAGAAGTGGGGCCTCCTCTCCCTGCAACCTCTCCTTTGCGTGCCGGGTTCTCCCTGGTGCATCTCCGAGTTTCAAACCCACTGCTGGCGTCTGTGGGGGCTTGTCCTCTCCAACCTCTATCACTTCCTTTCCTGCACGTCTCCCCTCATCGCCCAGCCCTCTCTCTCGCTGAGTACCCTGGACCTCTTCCCGTGGCACCTCCTCCTGTGACACCCCCTCTCGCGGTATCCCCTCCTGTGGCACCTCCTCCTGTGACACCT